CATCAAACATATTCTTAAATGTCCCAATGAAAATATGGGCCCTTCAGGTGGATCCATGATGTCTTTTCAGCTTTGGCCAGAATCGCAATTATATATGCGCGAAATGGACCTGGCAAGATGCCTGATGGGCAGCTGCTCGAAGCAGAGCTTCACTACATGAAGTACCGTGAGGGCTACAACCGTTCCTTGCCACTAAACAGTTTTTTCTAACATCAAAAAACCACTAACAAAGGTTATGTTGGTGTCTTGAGGCTTGGCCGTGTGGTCTCTACGCCAGAGGAGGCTTTTGTACCCTGTCCGTCCCAAGCAACACATGTTCGAGCATGCGAGCCTCAGCTGTAAACCAAAAAGATCCAAAAAGTTTTGGGTATGGGGTATCAACTGTTTTTGTGGCGTGGGACGTGCGAGGATATTCGATTTCAAGCACAACCCGAGATACTTCCAATGCTTGCTCGATGAAGATATGATCAGGAGGGTACTTGGCCATATATTACAGAGTTGTATTCCTTCTCCCTGTGATTTGGTGCTAGTGACATGTGTTTGACAAGTTTTCCAGCCACACTGGATCTTAGGTAAAAGCCATCGTGAAGGGGTTGCACCCCTTGAAGTTCAGCCAAAGGGCACTTGAACATTACTGTATAGCCATGGGGTTGCGATGGCTGAAGCCATTGGAGTCTTGAGGGTGAAAACAGAAGCCGTCAGCCCGAAGCGTGCAAACATATGCGACCGATCTGCATGACCAAAGCATGAAGTATATGTTCCTTAAGCACTGAAACTTCCGAGCTACGAGTCATGGGGACATGAGTTTTGGTATTCCTCAAGTGTTGATGGCAAGATTTCAAGAATAGTTGCTAGCCTTACACATTAAGTGTTGTCTATGCTGCAACCTGGCACTAGGGGCATGGGGGGTCCATATGGCTATAGGCCATAAAGGTAGGCCTATGTCGACTCTCAGCCTGTGTTGGTATTCAAGATTTTGAAACATATATGGTTCCAGAAGAGGCTCGAGTATACACCACCCCCCCCAGGGTGATGATACAGGAGGGACAGTGGGAGAGCCTGGCAGCAGGACTCCTAGGGCGGGGGATCGCTGAGGCCAAGCCCCTGGACCAGATATACCATCTCCAGGGAAAACCCGTGCTGAACGGATTATTTGCAGTTGGCAAAGGGGAGTTCGAGAACGGCATCGAAACTCAACGGCTGATCATGAATTTAACACCAGTGAATGCCCTGTGCCGCCCATTGGCAGGGGACGTGGGCACGCTCCCGGCTGTCTCAGGCCTGAATGGCTATTTGTTGGAAGATGGAGAAGTAGTCCTCCTGTCAAGCGAGGACATCCGGTGTTTCTTTTACTTGTTCGCTGTGCCTGAGGGATGGAAACAGTTCATGGGGTTCAATCGCTCGTTGCCTGAGACCCTGGTTCCTGAGAAATGGCGGGGTCGGACTTGTGTGTTAGTGTCTAGAGTTTTACCTATGGGGTTTATAAACTCTGTGTCCATCGCGCAACATGTCCATAGGAACGTAGTGAGGCTTGGTGCACAACAGTGTAGGCCTGTGATCGGGGGTGAAGGTGAGCTACGTAAGGACAAGGGTCTTCCCAATTCTGACAACCTGTATCGTACTTACCTAGACAACTTCGACTGCTTGGAACGGGTACAGGCTGACTTGGCAGACACCATCAAAGGCACAGTGGCTTCACAGGTGGAAAGTCTCAGGGAGGCATATGAGGCTTTGGGGTTGCCACGGCACCCAAAGAAAGCAGTACAGCGGGCCGGAGTAGGGGAGATGCAGGGTGCTCTCCTGGATGGCGAGCGTGGCTTTGCCATGGCCAAGCCGATCAAGGTCATCCAATATTGCAAGCTGGGCTTCGAGCTGTTGAGACGGGGCGAATCGACCCTGAGGGAGCTACAGGTGGTATGCGGCGGCTTTGTATACCTCTGCATGTTCCGACGGGCGTTGCTCTGCTCATTGAACGCTGTGTTTGAGCACATGAAGGCATTTGAGAGTGAGGCCCCAGTGGTCAGGTTGGCCCTGCCATACCAGGTCAAGGTAGAGATTGCCCGATTCATACTGCTTTCACCACTAGCCCAGATGGAATTTCGTGCGAAGGTCGATGGAGAGGTCACGTGCTCGGACGCTTCATCGTTCGGGGGAGGACTCTGTGCATCCAAGGGCCTCAGTCAGTTTGGCCATGCCGCACTAAATGCCAGTAGTAGGGGTGATCTTCCTGAGGAGCATGACCTGGTCCAAGTTCTCAGTGTGGGTTTGTTCGATGGAATAGGGGCCCTCCGGGTTGCTTGTGACGTGCTTGGTTTGCCCATGGCAGGTCATGTCAGCATTGAACAGAATCCTCATTGCCATAGGGTGGTTGAAAGTTTCTTTCCTGAGTGTGACTTTTTCTCGGATGTCTCCACGTTTGGTGATGAGGAAATCCTTCAACTGTCCCTGAAGTACAGCAACGTAGGCCTGGTCATCATAGGTGCGGGACCCCCGTGTCAGGGAGTGTCAGGACTCAATTCGGACAGACAGGGAGCCCTAAAAGATGCTCGAAGTTGTCTCTTCCAGGAAATCCCGCGCATTACCTCGGGCTTCAAGCGGCTGTTCCATTGGGCACAGGTTCACGAATTGGTTGAAAATGTGGCATCAATGTCCGAGAGTGATCGTGGCGTTATGAGCGCCAAGTTTGAGCGTGCACCTTACCGGATTGACTCAAGGGGCATTTCACTGTGTTCTAGGCCTCGTCTTTATTGGGTAACATGGGAGCTTCGCGGGGAACCGGGGGCTGAAGTCACCCATCCTGGGCTGGACTCTGGGAATGCTTGCGGGAAGGTGGAACTCAGTGGAGACGTTGACAGTAAGGCCTTTCTGCACCCAGGATGGAGCCTCGTAGAGGATGGTTATCTGCCTACGTTCACCACGTCAAGACCCCGCACTGGCCCAGGACGCCGCCCTGCAGGATTGGACGGATGCCAAGAACATGAGAAGGCACGTTGGGTTGCAGATGAGTACAGGTTCCCACCTTACCAATACAAAGATGCCAACGGTCTTTGGAGCAAAAAAGGTGAATGGAGACGTCCTGACTCAGTTGAACGCGAAGCATGCATGGGGTTTCCTGTAGGGTACACAAAGAACTGCCTTCCTAAAAGCCAACAACAGGGAGCCAACTATGAGGACATGCGCCTCACTATGATAGGTAATTCATGGCAGGTAGGTGTAATTGCATGGTTGCTGCAGCAATTGACAGTGCCACTTGGACTCTGCAAAGTGACCCGGCTTGACCAGCTGCTCATGAACCTGACTCCAGGACAGGCGTCTGAGTTCTCAACCATGTTGATTCGTCCCCCTCTGCACGGAAGGCAAGGGCTAGTCAAAGAGGCCAACACGGTCCAGCTGGTCAAGAAACTCATTGGTTTGACTTCCATGAAGGGTGAGGACCTGATGATCCAAAGTGGTAGCGACCCCGCTCCCCGGTATTTTCGCCTGCGCGCAAGCGTGCCCGGTCGTATGTGGAAGTGGCGAGAGATCGTTGGCGCTGGATGCATTCAGGTGAACACATCAATGGCTTAGAGCTTCGTGCCATCCTGACTAGTGTCAAGTGGAAGATCTGGAGGTGCAAGCGTGTGGGGGTGAGATTTCTGCACCTCACCGACAGTCTTGTGTGCCTTCATGCGCTCACTAGAGGTAGGAGCTCTAGTCGCCGGTTGAGACCCATCATTATGCAACTCAATTCCTATCTACTTGCTGCGGACCTGCACCCCCTTTGGGGGTACATACACACATCCCTCAACCCTGCGGACCGCCCCAGCCGGCGGCCGCTGCGTAAGAAATGGCTAAAGTAAGAGCACGAGTGTTGGAGGGTCGTAGCAAGGAGGATAGGAAGCAGCAGCGCAAGGCCTTGGGGACGTTGAAGGGTCTAACCGTGTCTAGTAAAACTAATGCAAGGTACAAGAATGCCAGGGAGCGTTTTTATGATTTTCTTCACAAGAATCAGCTTGAAATCCCCACAAGACGTGACCAGTTTGATGCAATTGTGTCGGAATATGTTGAATTTCTGTGGTCAGAAGGCGAGGGCCGTGGGCTCGCTGCCGACACGATCGCAGGATTACAGGACCTGGATCCGAAGCTTAAGGGGCATTTTCAGCAGACATGGAGATTGATGAAAACATGGAATACCCAAGAAATTCCAAACAGGGCTCCGCCCCTACCCGAGCAGGCCATATTGGCCATGGCCGGCTGGGGATTTTTTCATGGGCATTTCAATTTTTCAGTTTCCATTCTCCTGTGTTTCTATGCCATGCTGAGGACTGGGGAGGTGTTAGGAATTCGAAATTCTGACATCAGTATGACCTCTGCTAGCTCTCCTGCAGTGATTAGTTTAGGTCTAACAAAGGGTGGTAAGAGAACCGGTGCTGCTGAATCGGTGACTTTGACGGCAGCTGTCGCTTTGAAGTGGTTGTGGCAATGGAAAGGCCGGAACGGCCCTAGAGCGTCACTCTGCCCGTCAGCCTCCTCCTGGAGGAAAATGTTCAAGACTTGTTTAGCTGACCTCAAGCTTACGCTCTTTGAATTCAGACCCTACTCGCTCCGGAGAGGGGGCTCGACCTTTTGGTTTTCCAAGCACGGGAGTCTAGATAGGCTCCTGGTGGCTGGCCGTTGGCAAGCCGCACGCACGGCCCGGATATACATTAACGAAGGCCTGTCCGTTTTAGCAGAATTGCACTTACCCCATAAGTCCCTCCTTCCGTTCACGCGTGTGTTTCACTCTCAATCCACACCCCCAGAACCCTTGAGCGCGCGCACGAGGCGCAGAAAAGGGGGACGTGGAAAGGGTGGAGGGCAGGTTTTTCCTTTGTTTTTGTTGAAGTAGCT